TTCCGGCCCGGCCTCCGCCTCCGCCTCCTCCTCCCCCTGTGATTATGCCCCCTCCAGTCCTCCTCCTCCTCCTTCCTCCTTCTCCTCTTCTTCTTCTTCTTCCTTCTTCTTCTCTTCTTCTTCTTCTCCGAATTCGAGCCAAATTCGAGCCTCCAAATTCGAGCTACCTATCGGAACCGTACTAAAAATTTCTTAAATTATGTCACATCATCAATTGATATATTAATTAGTACACTAATTGATACATATAACATTATTCAAAATTTAATCATAAACCTGATACTGCATGTGCATGAGTACGATTGCCAAGTGTTTAACCATCAAACCAATCCCTTGGAATCATCTTGTTTATGATATACAATAATTATCACACACCAAAAAACAAAAAAACTCACAAAAGCATCTCATCAGTAACTTTTAATAATTATTTTTGTCTGTCTTTGTTTTTGTTTTTTTTCACTTATTTAAGTTGTTCATAAGCTCTTGTGAGAAAAAATTACACCAAATACTTTAAAATAAAATCCTTATAATAGAGAAAAAAAGAAAAACCTACACCCCAAAAGTTGCACAGTTTTGTGTGTGTGTGTGTGTGTTTTTATAGACTCATTCAGAGATGAAAATGAATGAGTATAAATTTCTACACACTCCTTGAATGAGCCTTAAGTTGAAAGCTAATTTTTTAGTTTTTAGTTTTTTTTTTTTTTAACATTTTAAAAAAAATATGTAAAAAAATAAAAGCACGATGTGACTTAAAAAAATCAAAAAATAAAACAAAATTTTTTTAACCTAATTGTCAAAATAGGCCAAAGTCCCAATTGCCCCTGGTAGTTCTCTAGGATGATGAGGACAGTAGAGATTGAAACTAACTGAAAATGAAAGATCACTTTTGAACATTTTGAGGGTACACAAACATTGAACTTGGTTAGGTTCATTATTGATGGACGTGAGAAAAGTGCATTAGAATGTTCTCTTCAAAAAATTATCACAAGTTTTGATGAGTATGAGAAAAGAGCATAAGAAAATGCAAAGTTTTTACTGTAGAACTTTTCTTGTTTTAATGGGTTGTCGTTAACTTGACTTTTCTATTGGCAGTTAAAAAAACAAACTAAAAAAAAATCATAAAGTCAATTTCAATTAAATCATAACTACAAGCGACCACAATTTGGTAATGAGTAAAATTTAAAAAAACGAATTTGTCTCAACTTTGATATATTTACTTCTTTTTTTTTCCTTCTAAATTCTTAATCCAGTTGTATCATAAACTATTTTTGCTACTTATCTTGCTCTTATCATTTTTTTTATCTATAAAATTAACAAATTATTGATAAAAAAAAAATGTAGGTATCATACAAATTGAAATCATAAGGAAACTATAATTGTCAAAATTGTAAATCTTATTGTATTTTTTTCAAATTTTTAGAGAGATCAGTGTAATTTATCCTTTGCTTTTAATCACATCTTTCCAGCAAGATTTATCTAACTCATAGATGGAGAAAGAATTTTGGGACAATTACCAAAAAAAAAAAAATTAAGGATGTGAGCCTTTTAATAAAATATACGCTGCATTTTTTATTTTGTCAATTTAAACATTAATTTTTAATTTATTTTCAATTCAAATTATTTGTGTATTTTTATTAAGTAAAATCGACGAAAAAAAATATTTTAATTATCAAACTCTATGTAGATATTTATAAGAATATCTAAAATATAATTTTTATTAAGTTCACTGGTTAAAATATCTATTTTACTTATTGAAAATAGATAAATAATTTGAATTGAAAACAAATTTAAAATTTAAATTGATAAAATTAAAATTTTAATAATTATTTTATTGTAAAAGTTACAACCTGAGATTTTTTTTTTTTTAATTTTTTTAGGATTTTTTGTAATTTTTTTAAGAATTTAAAAAAAAGAAAAGAAAAGGAAATAGAAGTGAGAAAGCAGCACACCATAAGAAGCTCTTCTTCAACCCGTGTTGGTGTTGACAACGCTCCCCTCATCGAGTACGATAAGTTAAATAAAGCACACGTAGCTACATACAGCCTTTGCATTTAATGTCGCAACAGACTCTCTGCACCCTTATTTAATGCATTCACCACACTCTCCCCTCTCTCTCTCTCTCTCTCTCTCTCTCTCTCTCCACACAACCCAATTCACATTCATCAAACCCTACACTCCATACATACATTGGCCATGTTTGGTAGGAGGATAAGTCTGTTAAAAGATAAAATGAATTAAAATAATTAGGGGTTGTTTGGTTTTTGAGTTGGACTAAAAAATTGTAAAAAAATAAAAAAGTCAAAAAATTATAAAATGATAAAAAATAATCCACTATTTCAAAGTTAAAAAGTCAAAAAATTCAATCAAAAATACCAAATGAATAAAAAAGTCTCAGGCTAAAAAAGTCAAAAAAGCTAAATAACCAACTAAAAAAGTCTTTGCCAAACAAAGGCTTAATAAAATAAAATATCATATTTAATTTATCATTTTTTTATTTTTTCTTTTATAATTATTAAATTAATTATAAAAAAATCAATTTATTTTTCAAACACAATTATTTTAATTAAACTAAAATTGTCAAAAATTCAAATAAACAACTTTCCAAATACATCTGTAACTTTTTACAAATTGATTATAGAACATTAAAAATGTATCTTAAATAACTTGTCAACAATCAAAGGGCAAATTAAACTATCTCCATAGTTTGGGCTATTTTAGAAAGTGGATGAAAAGTCACTTCTTAACTTTTAACTCACTTCACTCTCTCACAAAAAAAATTAAAAATTAGTTCCCAAAACACCCCTTTGAAATTTATGTCACTTTGGATCCTTAATCTTTTTAGTGGTGTTACATGCAACCAATTAATATATTAATTAGTATACCAACACTAGCTATAGCATTATTATTGACTTCACTCACATTATAAATTCTAAAAATTTCTTAAATTATGTCACATCATCAATTAGTACACTAGTTAGTACACTAATTAGTATATATAGTATTATTCTAATCTTTCAATTGTGATACATTTAATCATTGATTTCGAATCTCATTCTAAATAAAAATAATTAAAGACACTATTACTCCATTTCAAGAACAAAGTTCTCAATTTGATAAAATATAAATTAGTTTGACAAATAAATATAAAAAAATTATTTTTACACACCAAAGATAAAATTATATAAAAATGATAAATCTTTTACTTTTGTATTTTTTCTATTTTTTTCTAAATTAATTTTTAGTATGTGTTTGGATGATGATCATGTAATATTTGGTTGTTTTTGTTTATATTTTTTTATTATTATCATATAATAGATGATTGTATTTGTTGTTAATAGATATTTTTAGATGATTATCATGTAATGTATGATTATTAGGTTTTTAATGTTTAATAAATATGTTTAATATATAAAATGTTTTTAGTTTAGATTTTTTGATATTTTGGATTGTTTAATAATGGCGTCAAAGTTGTCACTATGTTTGACTATTGAAAAAATAAAAACCAATTTAAAGAAAATAAATACAAAAAAAAAAATTATCTTAGAAAATTATTCCTACCCTCCCCAAAGATAAAATTATATAAAAGTGACGTGTTTTTAATTTTTTTCATCAATTTAATTTTTAGTTTCTTAAATTTTCTTTTCTAAAAATAGATTTTCAAAACAAAACCAAATATAACCAAGAAAGTTCTAATATTATTCATTAAAAAAAACCATTACATTTCAAACAACATATAAATTAACCAACACAAAATAAGTTGTATGACTACTTTGCCTTTAGAATGAATCGTTTGTAAATGAATCATTTTTTATTATCCTTATTTGAAATAAGATTCAAAATTTAAGGTTAAATATGTAATTAAAAAATAAGAAATTAAAGTGACACAATCCCTAAACAACAGAGACTAGTGTAATTTGTCCATAATCAAAATTTTAATTTTTTTTAATCTTATAAACTGTACAAAAGAAATAAAGAAAAGAAAAAAAACTACACCAAACACTAACATAAAATTCTAAAATAAATTATATATTAAAAAAAAATTATAGCTATCTTTCTAAAATCCCTAAACTACAAAGACTAGTGAAATTTGTCCATAATCAAAATTTTAATTTTTTTTAATCTTATAAACTGTACAAAAGAAATAAAGAAAAGAAAAAAAACTACACCAAACACTAACATAAAATTCTAAAATAAATTATATATTAAAAAAAAATTATAGCTATCTTTCTATAATATTATTAAGTGAAAGCCTAAACTGGTTTAGTGAAACCTGCTTTTCCTCATGCTATGTGTCACCTTTATATATGCTAAAATAAAAAATTTATTATACACAACGTAAACAAATTTTGAACTCAAGATCTTAAATTTCATTAAAAATATACTTATCACTTAAGCAATATATATATTATGATATTAAATTCTTTATTATTTATTTTTATTATTAGTTATTTGAATTACACACATTGTGTGTGCCACTCGCTAGTATCCTATAAATTGAACCAAAAGCTAGCTAATAAGAACTACTCACCAGTTTAGTATAACTTATTATAAATTAAATGAGCCATGATAGAAACCCCTTCCAATTATCATCCCTACACACACGTGACGAATGGTGATTGGAGGAGTAAGAAAAAAAAAAAAATTTGTAACCAAAGAGAGAGAGAGGAGGTCAAAGGGGGTAGGGGCAAAAAGGGACCCGAAACATTTTTGAAATTAAATATTGATAATTTTGTTCTCAAAAAAAAAAATATCGATAATTCAAAAATAGAAATAAAAAAACTCTTATTCAATTTTTAGAAACCATTTTTTCCCCAAATAAATTACACCAAACACCTTCTCAGTCAATTTGCTAGTTAAAAACAAGACAGTATACCATATTTTAGCAAGCTCACTTGCATAGTATGCATACCAGAATTTTCTATTCAACTGGTCAATTTAGATAATTATTCATTTTTAATTTACAATATCCAAGAAAGTGGGAGAAAATTTTCCAAATCAAATAAACAGAAGCTAACACAACAAAATATTTATAATAAAAATAATGCAATACATAAACTTCGAAAACAAAAACATAAAAACAAATTTCAAATATGTAGTCAAATTAATAACAAAATGAAACACCAACTATTTTCACTTCTTCTTTTTAATGAGTCACAAGTCATGACATTGAGAGACTCGACTCATCTCGACTCAAACTTCTTTTACGCATTTTCCTTCTCAAGTAGTGCTTCGAGCCCAGCTCCCGGGTCAACCTGAGTCAATACCCGAACCACCACCCTTGCATTGTGTTAGGAACTCAGAGACACCCATTCCCTTCCGAGTCAACTCAGTTCCCCATTTTTGCTCTTATCACCCTGCAAGGATATTTCCACACTGCGGTTCGTTCTTGACTCACACCCCACACTTCAGCTGAGAGCACACCATAATTTCCACTCCCACACCAACACTCTTTAACGCGTACATACACACATATATGTCTTGTTCTCTACACCTAAACAACAGCGCTACGTACCTAAAAAAAAATTAAAATTAAAATATTCAAAATTCAAAATTTATAGCTTAGATTTATTTTGATTGTGGTATGCCACAACAATTATAAATCTACACCATAAATTTAAATCAAAAAAATATATATTTAAATAAAAACAACTCAAAATATAATTATTTTAAGTTATTCCTATTTAAATATATTTTTTTCTGATTTAATTCTGAATACTTTTAATTATTATTTTTTTTTAAATACGTAACATATCATATAGCTAAAATTTTAAAAATTGTGTTTTGTCATTTTGGCACGTGAAGGTCACGTGACCGTGAGAATGATCAGCTTTCGCAGTGAAGAGCGGCCTTGATCTTCTGAACGGTGCATGATATGAGATTGTTGACGGTCTCCACAGATTCCACCGTAAGCTTGGCCGTAGGCAAACTATTCACCAGGATTTGAAAGGCCACAGTGAGGAGGGACCCACTCACCCTCTGGGCCGGCACACCACCAGAAGCCCCATTAGCAGGCCCATTTCCGACAGGCCCACGTGACTCAGGCCCATCAGGTACGATCGCGAATCCTGATGGCAACAGCGCCACGTAGGCAGAATCTCCACCGTTCATCACCACGTGCATTGCCGGAATGTCAACGGGCGCGTACACCACAAGTGAACCCGCCGCGTCTATGCAAGTCTCCTGTAGTATCAACATGCTGCTCTGGTTTGCGTTCATCGCCTGAAAAGACAAAAATACCCTCAGTGTCCCCACTTATTTACAAGGGTGAGGAATCGGCTCCATAAGAATAACGCTCAGTTTGGCAAGGAAGCTTGAGACTATTTTAGTTATAAAAAACAAAATAAAATATTTTAACCACAATAAATAAAACATCACATTTAACCCAAATCATTACACTCTTTTAACCAAAAAGACAAAAAGATCTCCCCAAACTAAACTTTTTAACCCAGGCTAAAATAACTAAAAAAATCAAAAAACTAAAAAACAATCTACTTTCCAAACGGAGGCTAAGCTATTGTTTAAAATATCTAAATAAATATAATTTTTTATTTTTTATTAAAAAAAATGTGTAAAAAAATAAATAGATAATGTCACATAAATAAATACACTTAAGCATCATAGTACCTAAACTAAGATCAAACTATTACATATAAAAGATAAAATAAACTAAAATAATTAATAAGACAAAATGTTACATCAAATTTATAATCATTTTTTATTTTCTTTTACAAATATCACATTTAAATACAAAAAAATTCAACTTTCTTTTCAAACACAACTACTTTAACCTACTAAAATAGTCAAAAATTAAAATAACCTATTAAAATAAATAACTTTCCAAACACTCACATAGTTTCAAACCAAACCATAAAAATTTTAAAATCATACCATATTGAACTAGTAAATCAAGATATGATTCATCTTAGAATCACAATTTTTAAAAATATTGTCATCATTTATAATATGACCATGAAATATTGTTCACAATTCTAAAAATTGTTAAGTAAATGTTAACAACTAATTATAGCACTAAACAAGAACAAACAGTAAAACATTTCAAACCTTATGTATATATATTTTATATTAATAAGATAATTGATTGTGAATAATAAGTAATAAATTATATATAGATTTTAAATTAAATACGTAACAATAAAATCATATATTGTACCATAAAATAGGACTCATCTATTTTAATAATCAAAATCCAGCCGTACATTAAGAAAATTTAACCAAACTATGGGATTTGATTTAGATCCAACAAGTTTGTAATTCTCTAATTTTTCTTCTGAGTCCTAATTATTTACTGTATTGTAAAAGTTTAATCGTACGGGTCAGCTGAGTCAACCCCTTTCAGTGAGATAGTGACGTCACCCGGGCTGACCCCATACAAGCGACCAGTGTCCTGCGTGTTTTGACTTTCAGAGAATAAGATAAAGTTAAAGTTCGAGTGAAAGTATTGTCCTTATCGATACTTCCAAATTACAATCTTGTCCTTTTTTTTTTTTACTGTCCCCACCACCACCACCATGCCCTTCTTCTCTTTTATCTGATGAACAATCACTCTACCAGTGGATCCACACACGGACCTTCTAGATTGGATTTTTTTAACTATTTATTGAAAAATTAATTGATTTTTTTTATAATTAATTTGATAATTATAAAAAACAAAAAATTAATTATAAATTAAATAACCTATTTTATTTTTTAGTGAGTTGATTTAACCCAAACCTCTTTCCAAACAAGGCCAATAATGGCCATCATAAAACCCAAAGTGACCTTTATACATGCCCTTAAATTTGAGTTTAAATTTAAATATTTATTTAATAATAAAAAAAAGAGTTGATAGGGTATTTAGAATTATTTTGAAAAGATGGTTGTAATCAACTTTTGGATTAAAAGCTGTTTATAAGCAGTGAGAGAGAAAATAAGTTATAATCTGAAAAGTGAATTATAACACATTTTTCAAAAAGGGACTTATTAGGTGTTCAAACTCCCAAATTAAAAACAAGACGATTCATATTTTTCTATCTACACCCATGTCGGTTTACAAAATCCATAATGAGTGCAGAAATTAATTTAGACAGATTCCTAATTTGTTAACTTCTCTAATGATTTTTAAAAGTGGTTAAAATATTTTTTTTGACGAAAAATAAATTTATCAAATAAGCCAATATTTTTCAACAATTTTTTTTTTTTTTAACAAATGAACTCCACTTTAAAGCTACTCAACAAAACACAAATAGGAGAGAGAGAGAGAGAGAGAGAGAGAGATTACGCTGGCACGGAGGAGGGAGACACAATTGCCGTGATCTTGACCTTTAGCGATGTGAGCCATTTCTTGCATAGGACCACCATTCGACAAAATGTCCCACTCACTTCTCAGCCTCTCATCCCTCAGAAAATCGAACAGTCTTTGCGGAGAAACCGGCAGCCAAACAGATGTTGCCGCACTCAGGACGATTCCCGGCGGCTCCCCGGGATCGTCAACGCTCATGGAGGTCATGACCCGGACATCCTCATCCACGTTGCTGGCAGAAAGTTTGTTCCATTTGTGGACTGTCGAAGCACAGACGCCAGCGCAAAAGTTGTCTGTCATACGCTGTGCCAGCTTCAGCATGCTCCGACGCCCGCTTGCAGTTATCGCTGCCATGTTAAAAATAAAAATGCTTATGAAAATAGAAATCAAACATAAAATAAAATACAAAATATACATTTCATTGCAACACAAGCTTCTAATGGGACAACTGTTTTACGTGTGTTGATAGTTTGTTTACATAATCGAACACAACTCTCTTATAACTGTTTTACATGTCTACAGTTCGTTTACAGAATCGAACACAACTCTCTCATATTAGATGACTCTGTTCACTTAAGAAAATTGTATCAGCATTTTGGACCTCCCATACCATTATTTACCAACATATCAACTGATGATACGAACTAATATTTAATTGTATTGCCGATACTAATACTGTAATTTAAAACCATGTCTATGCACAAATTATTTTGGGGTTGAACAATTTGAGGGATGGAGTTAGATTACCAGTATGATCTCTGGACGGTACGGAGGAAGACATGAGGATGGCTAGGCATTCGCACTGGCGTTGAAGGGTGGCAACCCAACGTTGAGCACCAAAGCCCATGCCACCGCTGATCAACGGCCGGTACAGATGGTGAATCACCCTCTCATCATATTCTGCATGCTCTATCCATGTTACCTGCATCACCACACAATTGTTCAACTAGTTGAAATATATATATATATATATTTCTTTTTTCAAATACTTTGAAAACATGTATATGTTGTTGACAAATATGAAACAGATCACAAGCTTAAATAAAACAACTTAAAATCTAATAATAACAAAAAAATAAAAATAAAAACAAATTTATTCTTATTATTTTGCTTTAAAATCAAAAATTATTATTTTTAAATTAAGTATTATATATGTAATAAAAAATAGTTACTTATCCTTACAAGTGTTTTACCCATGTCATATTTCGGGATATGTTCATTTTAAGTGTGACTCCCATACCATGTTAGATTTTACTATGAATCATTCTCTCCATTTTTTTTCTTCTTTTTTATGTACATTTTATATGTAATTTTAGTGTAATATAAAATAGAAAAATAGCATGCTTACCATTTTTATACATAATTTTTTACAATAATGATGCATTTGTAGTTTAGAATTACTTTAGTTATAAGTTAAAAGCTGATAATCATAAAGTAAAAGCTAAAAACACTCTATTTCACTCTTTCCTAACTTTCAAATAATCAATTTTGAAAACTTATTTTTGCTTCATAAGTAAGCAGAAATTACACCAAGTAATTTAGCTCACACTCCCAAATTAAAATAAGGTATAAGCCTGTCATTTAAGCCGTAAAGTTGCCCCAATATATTGGTGGTGTTTGGGGGAAAAAAAATTTGGGTTTTTTTATTTTTTATTTTTTACACTAAAAGACAAAGTTTTGGCAAAATAAAAAAAAAAAAACAAATCCAAACAAAATATCACATCCAACCCCATAATAATTTCACTTTTTTCTCTCACAAATATCACATCCAACCACAAAAAAACCTAACTATCTTCCCAAACACAAAAAGTTTTTTCTTCAATAATATCCTACAATCAAAAAAACCTACATAATAACCCACTTTCCAAACACCCACATTATTTATATAGCATTCTATTGGGTCTCATTGGTCGGTGGGTATTGCCATCTCATGATACATGCACAACCCAATCTTATCATAACGTGAAACACCACCATTTCCATGAACGCAATAAAACATTGCAGACTTAACTACTCCAAAAAAACAAAAACAAAAACAAAAACAAACAAACAAAGGGAGTCAAAACTTTTAATCAACAGTACTTAAAGTATAGAAAAGTATATGAAAAGTCATGTTCATGTATGATAGCAGTAGTAAAGTAGTAGTAAGCAGACAAATGACATGCCTCGAGACTCTAAATGTGAAATGAGGAGAGACATGGAAATGACATAGAAACCCTTTGAAAGTGTGTTGTTAAAAAAAACAAAAAAAAAAAAAAAGGGAAATAAAAATATTGGAAGATGAAGAAGAAGTGCAAGATTTGAAGGAACGAGGTGGACTGTAATGGAGAAGAGGTGAGGTCACATTGAGAGATGTGTACTGGACTGGATTAGCTTTTGATGAGTCTCACATGACAACAAAATAGCTCTACTCTCTTGGGGTTTGACCAACAAGTTCCTCGTTCAGTACAAAAATATAAAAACATAAACAAATAAATGAAGAGAATCAGAAATATACATATATATATATATATATATAATTCCAAAACAAGTAAATATGATATAGCTTTAAATTTGAGGTTGCATACTTTATTTTCTATCCAGTTTTCAAATAATATTTACCAGTTTCATAACATTACTTTAAATCTATTTGGTATAAGTTTTTGCAAAATCAAAGTTAATAACCAAAGAGCAAAACATAAAACAAAAACACTACAAACCCAAAAAATACCTAGAATTTGAAATTAGTGGTTGAGATTTAAGTTTTGACCTCACAATACAGAGCTGAAACGTACATAATAGATAAAAAATAAAAAAAACTCCCTCAATCAACTTCTCAATAATCATGTTTTTTATTTTTATCTTATAAACTATAATCAAAGTTGCACCAAATATTGGCACACACTCCCAAAATAAATAAATAAAACCCCTAGCCCCTATAAAGGGCATATTGCTACAACTTTCCTCAAATTGAAATTAATAATCAAAACACTACTTCCTCAACCCTCAGATAATAATTTTTTTCAAATTATTCAAGTTAGTTTTGCCTCAACCTATAACTAGAAGTTGTACCAAACAATCAGACTAAACAACATCTACATAGGGTGCCAACTTTTAGATAATTAGTCTTTTTAGTTTACTTGAGTTATTTTTAATTCATAAATTATAAATAAAAATTACACTAAATATTTTGATACAAAATTTTGAAAAAAATAAATAAAACAGCAGCACCAAATAGGTACATTACGGGAAAACAAACACATCATGGTGCTGGATCCAGGTAATGCACAAATATGTGGATTAAATATAGCCATGGGGGAGCCGATCGAGATAGGCATCAAAGATTGGAATAGAAACATCAAAAATATAGTTTATTCAACCAATGTCAAAGATTACAATATATTTTTCCATTCTAAATGATATGAAATTAATGTGTCCCCAAGGTTCAGAAATTGGAGTAATAGAGACTTCTATGGATTATTATATTGTGGTTAACCTCGATTCAGTGGTGTACGGTTCTAATATAAAAAAAAAATATTAATATAAATTTTAAGCAAAACCAGTTGTTGAAAGTTGTGGGTTTTAATAATATAATTTGCCATTAGAAGAAGCATCTAGTTCAATAAAATAATGTCTATCAAGTTTACCAAGAAAATCTTTAACATATTCCATTGGAACCAAATCCATGACTAAGGAGGGTGTAGTGATTTAGTGACTGAACAAACCAAAAACAAGAAAAAATATATTGGAGGTATCATGCATTAGGTCTATCGTTTTAAAAAATACTAACAAAATACATATTCATGTACATAATACAATATACAAAGTCCTAATATATTGACCACTAATTAGAATTACAATTAGCTCGATTAGAATCTCTATCTCCAAAATTATTGTCCTCTTATCCCCAATATGATATAAGGCGGGAACTACAAACCCGCCCTGGCCATCCCTACTCCTAGAGGAATTGCTCCAAACCATTTATCAATCGATACCTCTCATATTGTCTTCTAAAGCACCTAAAACCAGTAACTATCAAATTATACCACCACATAGATTTGCCACAAGAGCACTGAATAATTTCTAAAATTTTGATTCGGCCACTTTTTTTGCAAATTAAATGTTGTCAACAAAGTTTCGAAGTAGTTGTTACTCCAACAAACTCATTAAACACAAGAGGCCAAGTATGAAGAAAAAAAAAAAAAAAAAAATTCCACAAATGAATTGGGGGGGTGGGAGAGAATTTTGGAGCTATTGCAAATGAGACATAAATAGGTAGTAAATAGTAGGGGGCAGTTGTTCACCTTGGAGTAGCCATTAGGCATATCTTGCACCACACAGCCAGAAGGAAGCCTCCTGCAGCTCACAAATGTCGGTGGTGCACCCGAAGTTTCCCGGATATGATCAATGGACAAATCCACCACTGCCCACACTCCCTCCGCATGCTGCTTGCAGAACCTCAGGAAATTCACCTCCCGAACAGGTACCAGTGGTGAGAGTACTTGCAGCTCCGCATGCATCTACCAATCAATAAATAATTATTACAATAATTTTAAATTATTCAAATAACTTAAAAAATTTCAATGCAACTGTGATATACTATATATCACGTACCAGTAACCCTAATAACTAATAATAAAAATATTAAATGCAATGGGTGGTTCTCATCATGGAGATGTAACTATTTGTTGGGTTCACCGATCTCATTTGGTATTTTATTATTAGATGGTGATGTCACGGTTGTATTGAAGGTTTTTTTTACTCGAGAAAAGGGTTGGAGAGGTATGGAACTAGGCTCAAGATCCCCTCTCTACAAATTGGTCTCTATGTTCTAATGTACTTTTACAGTTGTATACAGATTGGTGCAGATTATTGAAATTGTTTATATCTTCTTATTTTTTATTTAGTACAATTTCTTCTTATAAAGTATGAGACGGGTTTTCATTATTGAAAAACTAAGGGAGGATTGTATTAATTATCAATTTTCATCTTACAAAAAATTACACCAAATAGACCATAGAATGATGTGAAAATCTCGAAAAACAAAAAACTCAAAACAATTTTATAACACGGATTGAATTGAAACAGAAGAATTTGAAAATAGAGATCCCGTGCCATGAGAGTACTTGTATGAATTAAGGAAGAATCAGCGAGGTTACTTACCAGTTGAAGTGCACCATTTCTAGTTCCTCCCATACCACCGGATATCACATCAGTAGTAGTAGTTCTAGCAATCATACAAGGGAACATTTCTGCCCATCGATTCTAAAAAATCATGAAAACAAAAACCAGATGAATAATCAACAATGTCAAAAGCGAAAAAAAAAAAAAAAAAAAAAGTGTTTGATTAGAGCTCACTGAGTCCATTAATGTCTCCACAAGCGCCAAACTGTTGATGATGACCATACCAGTCTCTCTTGAAGCCTCAGTGACAAAACCATTGGGTTTCAAACCAATGCAAGGAGTGAATGTCCTCAAGTACTCTTCATGGTTCATGATCTCTCTCCCTCCTTCAAAGCTCCTGAACCAAAGTGGCTCATCAGTCTGAGCCATCTTAACAAGTTCCTCCATTGCAGCCAATGCAAGTTCCAAAAATATAGATCTCTCGGCGGGGGCTCTAGGCGGAGCCACCACCGGTAAACCACTAGAAATCCCGAAATCAGGACCCAATGGCAGAGTTGTGGCCACCGTGCCCAGCCCGCCAAAACCATTGCTTCCTACACCGAGTTCCAGGCTCGAGTTCGGCAATCCGGGTGGCATCGAGGCCGCCAACGTGGAAATGGGGCGGCCAAGGAATTTTCCGGCGAGCGCGCAAACCCGATCCAACTCATCTTTAAGTCTTGCGTTTTCAATACGGAGGTGTTGCTCCTCCAACGATATGTCACCGATGATTGCGGGACCACCACAGTTGGTGCAAATTGGGTTCCTCATTGCCTCCCGAATCGACATGTTTTCTGCCCGGAGCTTGTCGTTTTCTTGCCGGAGAATCGAGTTCTCGTGCCTCTCAAGCTGGGTCTGGTTCAGTATAAATCAAATTTCTTTCATTAAAAGCCCATTAATCAGCTTAAAATCACATCAAAATCTCCCAATTCATTCATTACCTTCATTTGGGTTCGGCGATTTTGAAACCAAAACTTGACTTGTCTGGTTTCCAAGCAAAGCCTCTTGCTGAGCTCCGACCTTTGTTTCTCATCCGGATGAGGACACTCCTTGAACAGACTAAAATCAAACAAACAAACAAATATTGAATATTGATACTACAATTCAAATAATCGACAATGAATCGATTCTTTTTCAGTGATTCTTACGCTTCGAGTTCTTGGATTTGTTGCGGAGTGTGTCGGTGGTATCGTTTTTTTCTGGGTGGCTTGTCGGCACCGTCAAGATCGTCCCCTGAGCCTCCATCCATGTTGTCGCTTCCAGATCTGCTCTCATGGTCTGCTTCTGATCTGCTTCTTCTTCCAACATTAGTCTCGTAATTCTCTTGAATCCTCGTAGCTTCTCCTTGGCTCTCCATACTCGTTTGCTTTCAAAAATCACAAAAATAAATTAGAAACAATCAAACCCAAAAAAACCCAAATCAGTGTAAACAAGAGAGCAAGCAAAGATCGATCTAGTAGAGTATATATAGATATACATATAGATAGATAGATAGAGAGAGAGAGAGAGAGTTTACGAGAGCTAGAGAGAGTCCGGGAGAGTTGAACATGGACTTGGCAAGAGAAGGAGAGACGAGGCGTTGCTGAGAGATTACACCAGTGGGCATATTGTGGTTGTTGCTGTAAGGTATGTCGGCGACGATTCTAGCACCGCCACCGCCACCGCCACTGTGATTGTCAAGAAAACCCCCAAAACTCATGAAATAGGCCCTTTTTTTTGTCTGTAAATAAGGCAACTCACTCAGTCACCCACCCTTTCTCTCACCCTGTTTCTCTCTCTAGATTGCTTCACTCTCTCCTAGACAAATCTACAAACACTTGTTGAACGAGTGTACATGACAATTGCATTCACAGATTAGCATCATTTTCTTTTTTACCCAACTCGGAAATTTGTAGAGAAACAACAACCAAAAATCAGTGTTTGTTGTACTATACACAGAAAAACAAAAGATTAATTTGGGGAAAGAAAAAAAAAGAAAGAAAATTGGGGAGAAGAGAGGTAGAGGAGACACAAGGGTAAACACAACCCAAATGTCTCCAACTTCCTCTCTGGTGTGATTTTCTGAGAGAAAGAAAGAGAAAGAAGGCAAGCAAAGAAGAAAAAAAAAACCCTTTTATTGCTGCTTAGCACTTCGTTCTCTCTCTCTCTCTCTCTCTCTCTGTTTCTCCCTGTAAAAAGACTAACGAAACTCAAATGCTCTTATGAAAACAAACCCTAGTTCTTCTGAGTTATCTCTTTCTCTGCATGCTTGACTAGACTTTTAAAAGCATTTGTTTTCATGAGCTCAAAGGATGAAGAAAAAGAAAGGCCTCAAAAAGGTCTACAGAGAGAGAGAGAGAGGAGAGAGAAAAAGGGTGAAGATAATACGCAATATGTGGACTATTCGAAGCCTTACATATACATACAACCAAAAAGCACAGAAAAGATCGGTTGACTCTCTCTCTCTCTGTCCTTTTAACTTTCTCTCACTAAAAATTTTCAGGGAGGAGAGAGAAAATTTTAAGGAAAAACCCTTTTAACCCTTTTCGAAAGAAACTGTAAGAAAAAACAGAGTTACAAAGAGAGGTGAGTGGGAAACGACACTGGCTCAGATCCGTGGATTTTTCTCGGTTTTTTGTCTCTCTCCTTCTCTCTCTCTCTCTCAGTTTCTCTCTCTCGAAAAAGACTGAGAACGTTGGGATCTGCAAATACATGAAGATTACGAGATACATTAGGGCACATATATATATATAATATGCGAAGAAGAAGAAGGAGAAGAAGACTAGGGTTTTGACATTTGGAAAGGGGGTTTTAGAGAGAGTCCCTCTATCTAAGTCAATGCTCTGCTCTCTCTCTCTCTAAAACAGCAATTTTACGAGTCTCACCGGTTAGGGAGCACTGCCGTGAGCGGCGGCGCTGCGGCGAGTCTTGACGGCGGCGTACAATTTGGTGCTGTTCAATCTGTTGGAAAGAGGTGGTGCTGCTGCTGGGTTTCGAAGTCTGATCAGGAGAACACGAGAACTGATATACTACTTTATTTTTTCTATTTTTTGAATTATGAAATTATATTTACATTATGACTTATTTTGACCATACTAATGAGTGTGTTTGGTTTGAATATTTTGAGTTGAGTTTTTTAAGAACAATAATGATTCATCTCCTCTTTTTCTCTCATCCCTTTAACCTCCTCTCTCTCTCATTGGTTACATTTTTTTTTTTTTTTTTCTTTTTTTTCCTGCTTCTCCAATCACCACCTACCACGTGACAAAGGGGTGAGGGGTGACCCCAAAAGGGATCCCAAGTATTATTCTTTTAAGAATTATGGCCTTTTTGGTTTGTTTTTTAAAAAAAAAATTTAGAAAAATTTCTCGACAAATAAATTTTTAAAAGTAATCAAATTAAATAAACTTTTTCAAAAAAAATCTTAAAATTTTGTTTGGTTACTTACTTTTCAAAATCACTCTATCTTTCATACACATCAAATCAATCAATTTTTTTAAAACTCTCTCCTCAAAATAATTTTCCAAAACTATTTTTGAAAAAAGGCAAATCAAACAAGTTTTCGTACTTTTTATCTCAAAAATTGCTCTACAAATACAAACCAAACACACCCTTCGTTTTCTTATTTTTGTATTTTTTTGTTTTTAATGAATATTTTTTAAATTTTAAACATTTTTTTTACTTTTTTAGATGTACATTATTTAAATGTATTTAAAAAGTAAAAAAATTGTAAACAAATAGTTTAAAAAATTAATAAATACATAAAAATATAAAAAAATATATTGAATTCTCTTATTTTTTTGTATTTTTGATATTTAGTGAATTTTTAAAAGGTTTTTTTCATAAATCTTTTTACTTAAATCAAACAAGTTTTCGTACTTTTTATCTCAAAAATTGCTCTACAAATACAAACCAAACACACCCTTCGTTTTCTTATTTTTGTATTTTTTTGTTTTTAATGAATATTTTTTAAATTTTAAACATTTTTTTTACTTTTTTAGATGTACATTATTTAAATGTATTTAAAAAGTAAAAAAATTGTAAACAAATAGTTTAAAAAATTAATAAATACATAAAAATATAAAAAAAAATATATTGAATTCTCTTATTTTTGTGTATTTTTGATATTTAGTGAATTTTTAAAAGGTTTTTTTCATAATTTTTTTTTACTTTTTAGATATATTTATGTTTGATATATCTAAAAATTAAAAAATTTACTTAAAATATTTAAAAAATTCAGTAAAAGCAAAAAAATACGAAAAATAAAAAAGTACAATTTTCTGAAAAAGCATTTTTGGAAAACTCTAACCAATAAATCTCAAAATATGATATTGTGAATTGTTTAGTCCTTTTTTTTTTTTGTTCTTATGAATTTAGAAGTCTCATTAAAGTGAAAATTATCCAAAATGATAGTCATTTACACATTTAAGTTTAATTTTTGAGAGATAAAAGTAAGCTTTTCCAAATGTAAAATTATATATATTTTGGCAACCCGCACTATAGGGCCATGTTTGTTTGGCAGATTAAGGTGGATGAGATTGTTAGTGAATAGATTGTTAATGTGATAATTGTTAATGAGAGGATTAAGTAAAAATGTGTTTGTTTTAATAATAATATGAGAGATGGTTAGTGATAGAATTGTTAAATTATTTTTATATAAAATAAATAAATAAATTATTTCTATATTAAAAAAAAACTAAAACAAATATTAAAACAAACAAGTGTACTTGGTCAAAAAAAATAAAAATTTTATATAAAATATATTTAATCCCCATACTATTTTTCCTAATTTCACTCAAAATTCATCTAAGCTAATCCTTCTATAGCAAGCCACTTGGAGTAGCAATCCCCCTCCACAAGGAAGTCACCAAACAAGGGTTAGTGGGACCCACCTCCTTACTGCTCCAATCTCATGCCCTAATCTCTCAAACAAACATGACCTAGAGGTTTTGGATTTTCTAAACAAATTCCACATTTCGAATAAGAACCTAACACTCCAATGTAACACTATAATACGTAACACTTTAATGTAATACACTAAAAACCTCCATAATGTAATTGTTTTCAATGTAACAACGTAACACTCCAAACTTTTCTCAAACTTAACACTCTAATATAGCACACTCCAATGTAACACATAAAAATACTCCTTAATGTATTTTTTTAAGGACGAATTATACTAGCAGTCCTTATAGTTTGGGAGTTGTGTTACTTTGGTTCCTGACTTTTCAATTGTGACACATTTGACCATGAATTTTGAATCTTGTTTCAAATAAGAACAATTGAAGATACCATTTTTTAATTTCAAGAGCAAAATTGTCAATTTGATAAAATATAAACTAATTTCAAAAATAAATGTCAAAAAATTATTTTTGAATTTTTAAAAACTATTTCTACCCACTAAAGGTAAAATTATGTAATATTAATAAATCTTTTAGACATTTATTTATTTATTTATTACTAAATTAATTTTTACTATGTGTTTGGATGATGATTATGTAATGGGTGGTTATTTTTATTTTCATTAAATTAGTTTCTATTTTTTTAAAAATCAAATCCTTATTATCTACTGATGTATCTCCTGCTAATGCAGCCTCTGTTGTTGGTTAATAAAATGTTTCGTGCCTTTCAGCTCAAAAAAAAAAATAAGAACCTAACACTCCAATGTAACACTATAATACGTAACACTTTAATGTAATACACTAAAACCCTCCATAATGTAATTTTTTTCAATGTAACAACGTAACACTCCAAACTTTTCTCAAACTTAACACTCTAATATAGCACACTCCAATGTAACACATAAAAATACTCCTTAATGTATTTTTTTAAGGACGAATTATACTAGCAGTCCTTATAGTTTGGGAGTTGTGTTACTTTGGTTCCTGACTTTTCAATTGTGACACATTTGACCCTGAATTTTGAATCTTGTTTCAAATAAGAACAATTGAAGATACCATTTTTTAATTTCAAGAGCAAAATTGTCAATTTGATAAAATATAAACTAATTTCAAAAATAAATGTCAAAAAATTATTTTTGAATTTTTAAAAACTATTTCTACCCACTAAAGGTAAAATTATGTAATATTAATAAATCTTTTAGACATTTATTTATTTATTTATTACTAAATTAATTTTTACTATGTGTTTGGATGATGATTATGTAATGGGTGGTTATTTTTATTTTCATTAAATTAGTTTCTATTTTTTTAAAAATCAAATATGGCGACAACTTTGATAACATTATTAAACAAATTCTTTAAATCAAAAAATTCAAAACTAAAAACATTTCATATATTAAATATACCGATTACACATTAAAATCCTAACGAGCATATACTACATGATCATTATCTAAACACATAATAAAAATTAATTTTGTAAAATAAATAAATATCTAAAAGATTTATCAATTTTAAATAATTTTATCTTTAGTGGGTAGAAATAATTTTTAAAAATTTAAAATATTTTTTTGACATTTATTTTTATCAAAGTAGTTTATATTTTATCAAATTGATGATTTTGCCCTTGAAATGATATATTCAATTGTCCTTATTCGGAATAAGATTTAAAATTTAAGGTCAAATGTGTCGCAATTGAAAAGTCAGGGACCAAAGTGACGTAACTCCCAAACTATAAGGACTGTTAGTATAATTCGCCATTTTTTCAAACATAATACTCCAATCGATGTAATCTCAAACATAACACTCTAATGTAACACACATAAAAATACTAAAAAATTACTTAGTGTATTTTTTTCAAACGTAATACTCACGGTTTAAAATTACATATTTATGCAAAACTTGTTAAGGAATTTTTGTACTCCTTTTGAAATAGTTTGAAGAATCTCACACTCTTATAGAATGGTTTGAAGAATCTTACATTATTTTTTTGAAGTGTTACATTGGAATATTACGTTTAAAAAAAATACACCAAAGAATTTTTTATGTGTTACATTAGAGTGTTACACTAAATTTTTTTTTTAAAGTATTACGTTTGGAAAAAAAAAATATAATAAGTTTTTTTTTTAAGTATTACATTAGAGTGTTACGTTTAAGTATTATATTAGAGTGTTACATTTTGAAATTATATATTTGTTCAAAGCTATTAAGAAGTTTTTGTATTCCTTTTAAAATATTTGATGAATCTCACATTCTTTTAAAATGTTTAAAGAATCTTATATTTTAAGTCATTTTAAAAAAAAAAATCTCATATAAAAATTCTCACAAATTTGATTCTCATTGGTTACACATCTTACCTTTTAAACACAAAAGAAAAAAAAATAAAGAAAATATAATAGAAATAAAGGTATAATTGTAAATTTAATTTTCAAATAATATATGAGGTCTATTTTTTCAAAACAAATGAGACTAATTGGTAAAACTCTTGGAATTAATCATATTATTACCATTCCTCAAGATAAGATTAATAGATAATTTTTTTATATAAATAAAAAAATTACAACAAAAAAGTCAATTATTTCTCATTATTTTTTTTTAAAGTCTTTTCATAAGAAGTTAAAGGGTAAATTACATTGTTTAACCATTTTTACATTTTGACTTTTCAAGTTTGTTTGTTCACACTCTAGTCCTTCCTGGTTTAAGTTTTTTTCAATTTATTTTCAAAGGTAAATCATTTTCAAAATTAGATAAAAAATGATGTATTGATAGTAATGTGATATAAAAATATATTATTATATTAGAGTTTGAGTTTGTATCAAAAGTATGAGTTATATATAATAAAATATTTTTATCCCACGTGACTGTCAATGTGTTACTTTTTGTCTAATTTTATACATAAGTTAGCTTTAGGAGTAAATTGAAAAAATTAAAACATGAATGGCCAAAATTTAAAATAAAAAATTAAAAATTTAAAGATTAAAGTGAGAGAATGACCAAACATAAAGAGAATAAATTATAATTTATCCAAACTTTAAAAATTATTAAAAAAATTAATTCACAAAACAACCCATATATCATTGTGGTATTCCAACAAATAAAAAATGGTAACAC